ATATACACTATAGTGGCAAAAGTATTGGGACACCCCTCCGACTCATTGGATTCAGGTGTTCCAATTACATCCATGGCCACAGGTGTATAAAATCAAGCACCTAGACATGCAGACTGCTTCTACAAACATTTGTGAAAGAATGGGTCGCTTGCTATTAAATATTCTGGATAAACTGTTAGTGGTTCCAAAATTGAAAATTCAGGATGCACTTGGTCAAAAACCGACACCGAAATGTCTGCGTATGTGGGGGTGGGGGCTCACAATTTTATTTTTTTACTTTTAACATGTGTTATTTATTTTTAACGTATGATTTTATTGTCTCCTATGTGATAGCATATAAGTGACAGGTCCTTTTTGTAGGGGGTTGGGGCAGTGTATGCAAGGAGGGGACAGGAGAAGAGCAGTGTACACAGTGAGGGAACAGCATATACAGACAGGCTCCCTCACCTGCCGCCGCTAAATGTCATTGCCAGTTTTTAAATGCAATTACCGGCTTTTTTTTCCCCCACTATAGCTCTGAGGAGGAGCTGTCATCGCTCCGCCACTAAAGTAAACAAAGGGGCGGGATCAGTGGGAAATATCACTGGATGACCCCGCCCATTTATTTACTGAGAAAGAAAAAAGTTTTTCTTTGTGTCTATTATAAAATTTTGCAAACGGGTAATTTTTCTCCTTTACCGATTGTGCATTGATGAGGCTGCACTGATAGGCAGCACTGATGGGCATTGATGAGAAGGCATTAATATGCAGCAATGATGGTCACTGATAGGCAGCATTGATAAGCAGCACTGATGGGTGGCGCTGATAACCCTGACAGGCAACACTGACTGATTGCACTGCTGGGCACTCATGGGCGCAACTGCTGGGCAGCACTGCTGGGCACTGATCATGGGTGCCCTGGTGATCAGTGCTGATCTGCTCTGTGACAGCTGCCAGTTATCGGCAGTACTTTCCTCACACTGTGACAGCATGAGGAAAGTGCTGCTGATAACTGCTAATGGTATTTACTTCTTGATATACTGTGTCATTGGACACAGCGATCACGGAGATCGCCGGGTGCGCGCCCATGGGGGCACACAGGAGGGTGCGTTCTGGGAGGACGTCATATGATGCCCTCCCAGAACTGGGTAACTGCGCTGTAGCTGTCATTCGTCTATAGTGCGGTTACCAAGTGGTTAAAGACCTGGTATGCATTTTGGCAGGAACCTCACGCTGTTTTTGTTTTGTTTTTTTACAATATCCCGTTTTTTTTTTCACATTCAACTGTCAGTCAGGAATCCCTGGCTGATAGCTGAATGTGCTAGGTGGGGAAGGGTCACTGGTTTTAGGATGCTGATAGGTCCAGCTCCCCAAAACCAGGTGGAAGCAGTCACATTTAGCAGTAGTAATAATACCAATGCTAAATGTTTTGCTTCACTTTGCAGGCTGGAACTTTGTTTGGCCGAACTAGAGATGAGAAGGCCAAGAAAAAAAAAAAACAAAAAAAAAAACAAAAACGTTTTTTTTTTTTCAGTTGTTTTTCCCAAAGCCATTTTTGTTTGCAAAAAAAATGGAAAAAAATAAAAAGAAGTGTGGAATATGTTCTTTTAAAATGACAAATACTATATCTATGACACGGTATTCAAACTATATAACATGAAGACCTTAATGAAAGATTTCTGAAATTTTATGCAAAGTTCTCTCAGCTGAAGATAAGAAAATCCTGGAATACAATTCAAGTAACACTGTACTTCTCAATGCAGTTCTCAGACAAGAGATGTCTGCATTTCTGCCACTAGGGGGCACTGTGGGGGAAAGGCTCCAACAGTGTTTGCTTGTCGGCTCCATCTTGTACCTCCTACAGTTAGGGGATAGTTGGGATACAGTAGATGATAGTTTCTGTCCTCCTCTCAGGCCTTAATTGACAGGTAAGAGGGTAAATCTGACAAATGAGTTTATCTTTATAACCTTTAAAACATCCTATTATTGTTCTCCACCATCACAGCATTATGTTTACCTATACTCTGGTCAGTAAATTGGTTTTTCTTTTCCTCCTCTCAGTTAAATAGTGAAACCAACACCTAGAGCAGCGTTTTTTTAACCGGGGTTCTGCAAGAGGTCCCCAGTGGTTCCGCAACAATCTGCACACTCATCACAAGCAGAAGATGGATAGATCGCATCCCCACATAGCTGACAGTCAAGCTGCAGAGCTGTAGAGGGAAACAACTTGCATCAGTGTCCTATGTCAATCCCAGTCGGTCCTTCCCTCCTGTCTGCCCCAGTTGCCTGCAAATGACATCACTCAGGAAGGACAAGAGAAGAGGACGGGAGAGGATCAGCATGCCACATATGATCCAGAAGCTTTCCAGAGCTACTCTGCATGAGGAAAACTGGTATTGGTCTCCCTGTACTGTGCTCTACCGGCCCCCCTATACCATTCCCTCATGTCCCTCCCCCCCCATACTGTTTTTCCTCCTGCTCCACCCATACTGTTCTCTCCTGTTCCTCTGTACTTTTCCCTCCTGGCCCACCATACTGTGCTGTGTTCTTCTGCCTCTCCCCTCGTGCTGTTTCCTTTTGCCCCCCCCCCTCTCCTGTACAGTTCTCTCCTGGTCCCCCTGCATTGGTTTCCTCCTGGATCCCCTGTGCTTTGCCCTGCTTATCTCAAGTTTGACCCAGAACTGTTAATCTATGCAAAAAAAAAAAGCAAGCACAAGTTTCAAATTGGCAAGGTAAGTTAATATTTATCCTATTGTTTAATGCTGTAAGAATAATTGTTATATTGCATCTCTAGCTCGCTGATCATATCAATGTTCCGTGAGCCGTACACACGAAAATTAATTCAGGGGTTCCTCAAGATTTCAGACATTTTGCTAGGGGTCCCATAAAGGTAAAAAGTTTGAAAAGCCCCTATCTAGAGTTTGAAAACATTTCCACAGTTCAATTTCTGCTGAGAGCAAAGCTGCAATTTGTAGTGTAACAAAATTACTTTCCATCTGTAAGACTACTCCACACTGAATTTGTTTTTCAATTTTTCCGAACATTTCCATTTTTTTTCTGGAAAAAAATGTTCCAATGGCTTCAAAATTTCCAGAAATTTCACATCTCTATGTCGAACACCCATTCATTCGGACATTCGCACAAGATTCTCCACAGACTTGCACAAAGTGCAAAAGTCTCCCTCATATTACATCTCCTGCTGGTCAAATGTTCTTCTTAGCCATTTAATTTTCATGCTCAAATGGTTTAAGCTATTTTTCTCTAAGGATTGAATGTTCATGGTTGTCACCTTTGCCTTGTGAAAGGTTACAAAGAAACTAATACACACATTTCACTAAAATTATGAGAATTATTCGTTACACTTGCACAAATGTTGAGACATTCACAAAGTGAATTTTCTATACACTGGGCCCTAAGTGTCTGTGCCGATTTAAAATACAGTATATTTAAAGTGGTTCTAAAGTCTTAGAGTTGTTTACTTTCATGCATTCTATACATGAAAGTAAAAAACCTTCTGTGTGTAGCTGCCCCTCCACCCCCAAACACTTACCTGAGCCCCCTCTTGAGCCAGCGATGTCCAAGACAGCCACGGTTCTTCCAGGACACTCACTCCTTATTGGCTGAGGCAGCAGTGGGAGCCATTGGCTTCTGCTGCTGTTAATCACAGCCAGTGAGCCAATCAGGAGAGGGAGGGTGTGGGATGGAGCTGTGCCACAGCTCTGAGTGTGAATGGACATGCAGAGCCAGGGTTCAGGAGCACACCTGTCAGGTGCCCCCATAGGAAGCTGTTTGCTTAGGGGGCACCCAACAGGAGGGAGGGGCCAGGAGCACTGGTGGGGGATCCGAGAAGAGAAGGATCTGGGCTGCCCTGTTCAAAACCATTGCAGAAAGCAGGTAAGTATAGACATGTTTGTTATTTTTAACCACTTACCCGCCGCCGTATAGCAGATACAATGTTACATAGTGGCACGGGTGCGCAAATACATGTACATACATGTGATTTTGAATTTCCAGGTAGGGGGCGCGCGCAAGCTCCCTACTTGCGCCTCCATTCGCAGCCGTGGATGTCAATCACCGGGTCCCAGCCGGTGATTACAGACAATTACCGACGGGGAGAAAGACAGTTTTGTTTACAAACCGTCTTCCTCCCTGTCAGCTCGGGCACACATTTCGGGATGGCTGTGCACAGCACAGCCATCCCGAGCAGTGTGCTTACAGTGAAGCACACACACCCGCCGCCCCCTAGTAAAACACTCCCTACACACAGTTAACCCTTTGATCGCCCCCACATTAACCCCTTCCTGCCCAGTGTCATTAGTACAGTGTCAGTGCTGATTTTTAGCACTGATCACTGTATTGGTGTCACCAAGTTAGTTTCCCCCCACAGTGTCAGAATGCCGCTGCAGTCCCGCTAAAAGTCGCTGATCGCCGCCATTACTAGTAAGGAAAAAAAAAATCCCAGTATCTATACTGCCATTTGTAAACGCTATAACTGTCATGTAAACCAATTAATTTACACATTTAGGGATTTCGTTTTAGCAAAGACATGTAGCAGAATACATTTTGGTCTAAATTTATTCCTAAATTTGATTTTTTAAATTTTTTTACTGGACATGTTTAATAGCAAAAAGTCCAAAATATTGTTTTTTTTCTCAAAATTGTCATTTTTTTTTGCTTATAGCGCAAAAACCAAAAAATGCACAGGCGATCAAATACCACCGAAAGAAAGCTCAATTGGTGGGAAAAAAGAGGGCAAGTGGTTAAGGAAAAAAAAAACAAAAAACAAAAAAAAACATACAAGACTTTAGTATCACTTTAAGTACAAATAATACCTCCGGTCTGTGCAGTTTCTGTGATATACAAAAAGAAAGCTGTGGAAAGTTTTGTAATATGTTCTTCTACTGAGCTCTGTAATAATGGGTCACAGTTCGCTCCACACTAAACTCCTCCCACTAGATATTCAGCAGTGTTATATTCAATGCCATCTTGTGAATTCTGGTGCAAAAGCCTCGTTGTGTTACCTGGCTGGGCTATGAGTTTTGATGACCAACTCCTTCTGAATTAAAGTACTAACAGAAGACCAGGCAGTGTATTTACTATTGTGGTCAACCTGAAAAACAGCAAACACACAAATTTTATCAGAAGTTAAAAAAAACGTTTTTTTAACATAGGTGAAATTAAAGAAAACGGCTCACTACATGGGCAGCATACAAACAGTATAAAGAGAATGTAAATGAAAACAAACATAGCTTGAAATGTAAACACACTAGACTGAAATAATAATAATAATTATTATTATTATACAGGATTTATATAGCACCAACAGTTTGAGCAGTGATTTAGAAAATGAAACAATAGGATGTTTGTACTCATGGCACAATTTTTACCCATGGTGACGAGAAAATTCAAAGCTGGATAACAAAAAATTTCTCAAGTTTCTAACAGTGAATGTGGTGTTGTTTTGAGAACGTCCATTAACTCTGAAATTGAATGCTAAATGTTTTTGAAGTACTTTTGAATTACAGTTATGTCATTGAATGTTCCAATGAGAATTGTCTTAATGTACATTTTGGAGGAACATTCATTTGTAAATCTACTAGTGTATGGCTTTACCTCCGTGTTATACTGCCACCTACCGGAGAACTGGACACTGGCAACTAAAAAAAAAAAAGTACCCTAACCAAGGATAACCCCTCCCACTGCCAGAATGCTTCAGATTTATACAAGTAGTACTGAAAGCATGAACATAATCAGAAAAGGGTGGAATTTATGTACCTCAAGAAATAGATTCTACGGGGAGCAAAAAAATCCTATTTTGTTTCTTCTTCAGGAGTCTTACCTTCAGGACGTTCAAAAGCAGAAATGAAGAGTGGGCAACACACCAAACACGAACACACCCAGGAAAACAACAGAAAACGGAGGACTGCCTGCAACTTAAAAAGCCACCTGTAGGACCTTGCACCCTAAGCTGGCATCAGATGAGGTCTGAATACCCACCCGGTAGAAAATAGAGAATGTGAGAACAGAAGATCAGGTGACAGTCTTGCATATCTGGTAAACAATTTTCTTGATGACAAAAATCACTTGAGACCATAAGCTTGGATGACTGTCTCTCTGAGCCACCTAGAATGTCGAATGAGCAATCAGTGCACCCTTAGGAGGGACCAACTGTTACTATATACTGTACAGACAGACAATGGAGGGAAATTTATTTCTGATGAACTGCAGCCAGACAGAGCAACAGAAGAATGATGTCCTGGTTACAGGCTAAAATAAAATAAAAGCCTTTTGTAATGTCATTTCTACAAAAGCCATTCCAATGTGCTTGACTCTTACTTCCCAACTATAACAGCTTTGAAATTTCATCTATTTCCATTTTTTAAAATGTTTTATGCTTCTGTCAATTGCTGTAGATCATGTGACATACAGGAAGCTTTGAATCCCATCATGCACTGGCTTGCTGCATCACAGAATAGGGCACGATAGGGTGTGTTCTCCACTCTGGACCATACCTCTCTCCTTACTATACCACCTACTGTTTACTACCCACTTTCTGTACAATCTCCTTCACTATCTACCATCAGCTATGTAGTGCAAGAGCTTGTCTGCATTGAATAGATCGTTCAGGTGGGTCCTCCTGCCCCATAGTCTTGGTAGATCGAAAGGAAATTGTACAGAGATTGTACAATCAGATTGCATAGTGTATAGCCAGCATTATTACCAATGTACACTTGTCCCTAAAACCCCTGTTGAATAATTTATGGTCACACAGGAGCATGGAGTGGACAGAGACACTCAGCTGTCAGGCCTTGCTCACATCGCCGCATAGCGGAAACTCACTTTTCCGCACGCATTTTGTATTTTTTTGGCAATTTGGAGCTTTTTTGGTCATCCTGCATAGTGCATCCCATTCACATGACTGGGCCTCCTTGTTCACAATAATTGCCCCAAAGCAACACCAGAACTTTTTTTTTACTGTGGTTTTTGGTGCATTTGCAGTGCATCTGTCACATGACAGACGCATGCCTTTTACCTGTGCTTGAGGTGCCATTAACATTTAACAACAACGCAAGTGCGATGTGCATTTGCAAAACACGCATCAAAGTGTGAGTTTTCTGTGCAGTTTACTGTGCATTCAGAAGCGCACAGATGTGAATGGAACACCAAGGTTCTTGTGTAAACACACTAGTTTCACTTTCAGGCCCCATTCACACCCAGCGTACTGGGAGCACATGTTTTTTTGGCTAATTTTTCCTGCAACACACATAGGGCAGCTCATCGATTTTAATGGCCTGCCCTACATGCTGCAAAGTAGTTCATGGAACATTTTGTGATTTGCACGTTTTTCTAATTTAGCATTTTGCTGCAATTATCACTTGTTTTTCACATGGCAAATTGTGTTTTTTATTCTGCGTTCAGAAGACTAATCAAGCTCTCCATACGCAATTCATTACAATAAAAAAAGTTAAAAACACTCACATAAAAGATATATAAAAGTCGCAGACAACTCAAACAGCTGGAGTATTTTTGAGTTATATGTACTTTTTTTTATGTTTTTCTAATTTTATGGCCCATTTACTGCCATTCTCATAATGTCTGCATACCAAGCTCTCCTGGGCCAAGCTGGATCAACCAATATCACCTGTTTCACTTCCGTCAGAATCCTGCATAAGAGGCGAGGAAGAAGCTGAATTGGGGGAAAGGCACAGATCAGGGAAAACTGGTCCCAAGAGACCACTAAAGCATCTACTCCAACCACGAGTGGGGGCCCCTTGTCTTGGATACAAATTTCCCCAACTTGTTGTTTAACCTGGATATCAATAAATCTACATCTGGGGAACCCCAACGCTGGAAATTGCTTGGAAAATTACAGGGTACAGAGACCACTCCCCTGGAACCAACTGCTGGCGACTGAGAAAATCTGTTTGCCAGTGTTCTACCCCCCGCAATGTGTACTGTCGCCAAAAATGGCACATGTAATTCTGCCCAAACCAGAATGTGGTTTACTTCCTCCTGAGCCAACCAGCTCTTGGTGCCCCCTTGGTGGATGATGTAAACTACAGTCATGGCATTATCTGACTGAACCCGAACCGGATTCCGATGGAGCAAAAATTCCAGAGCAAGGCATGCCGCACAATTTTTTTATTTTATTGTCATCTGATTTAATTCATCTATTAAGAGCATTATCTGAACTCCAATTTACTATAATGGCCATTTTCTGATATTCAATGCCAATCATATTTATTTTTAATTCAATTTGGACTAAAAATGTAGTGATGACATTTCAACACAAGAGGGCAATATAATGATGGAAATATGCAAATATCGCACTAATAGTTGCGCTATCCCCTCCCAGTCTGACGCAGTTCGCGATGATTGGCGGACAAAACGCGTCAACTTAGTGACATCATCACGCTCTGCGTCCTTCCATGCTGTGGTGTCCATGAGGGGAAAGAAGCAAGCTGTGCGTCTCCATCTTGGATAAACACGAGGCAACACGGAAAACCACAAATACATATTACTCCCGGGAGTCTATTGCAAATTTAAGTGGCTTAATTCACTTCCACCGGTGGCAAGTACCCCTGAATAGAGCCAAGTCATATCTTGCAATTTACAGTGATACGGGATTATTATACCCTATGCTTTCATTGGGAATTCAGGCACTCATATATAGAGAAATTTTTGGGCCTTTCATAGGTGAATATCGAGTATTATCTCACAAGTATTTTTTCTTATTAAACGGGACAATAGTCCTAATAATCCCTATAAGGAACCACACTTGCTTTTACATAGAAGATACATTTTTGGAGCCTTTTTATAGGCAAATCACTGGAATGTTTCAGTGCTATTATGCACAATCAAGATTTTTTTCAACTATATCCAACAATCTTTTGATATAAAGGAGAATATACCTCTCATCAATTTAAGAATCTATACAGATTGATATTTCATCAGTGAAAACATCATGGTTTCTATTATGGTAATTAATCATTCCAGTTAGCAATCTCCATGATTTTTATGAGAAGAAGTTGATACAATAACATTTGTTTGTTCATTCTAGAAACCTAATCATTGTTATCCTATGAAAACATTTCATTTAAGGAATATCAGCCGATTGAAACTGGCCATACACTGTGAATTAACTACAATTTATCTATGTGATGTTGATGAGTCGCCAAAAAGGTAATATACCTATATATCATTTATATTATGCCTTTCTGTGGACATATGGTTCCATTCAATTGTTATCTTGATATAGCAAGCTAATGAGAGAAGTTTAGCAAACTCAAGGGCTTCATGTATTCATTACTTATTTATTCTCCAGGACCTTTGTCACCATAATAGGATTGGAAGAAATTTTTGATACCCTTAAGATAAAAGATAAAGATTGAGAATACGGAAGATTTAAATATACCTGGATTTTTTATATGGATTTTCCATAATGAATACAGAAGTAGTATTTACTTATTTCATCTTGCTCATTTATCACTTATGCAGCTAAGTGGAAAATGCAGAACTTTTTTTTTTTACTTTTTTGATTTTATTTTCATGATTGACACTGTTCACCATGATATAAGGTCTACCTTTTCATGATCCATGTGATCTTAATAAATACTATTGCATCCACTAATATAGTGATTATTACTCCGCTTGGGATTCGTAATATACCACTTTGTGGCAGGTCTGCTTTTGTCAGCTGCTAATATCTATTTATTGTCTAACTGAACTCTAACTGGATTCCGATGGAGTAAAAATTCCAGAGCAAGGCATACCGCATGAAACTCTAAGATATTGATGGGCAGACTGTTCTCTAGATGAGCCCACCTTCCTTGGACTGTGGTTCCTTCCCTAAACCATGAAGAACTGGCATCCATAGTCCCTGTTTTCCAAACTACAGGAAAAAAAGCCTTCCCTTTCTCCAAATTCTGAGTCACTAATCACCACTTCAGACTCCATAGAACCGCTTCGATCAAAGAGATACAATAATCCAATGTGTGACGGAGCGTAGGCAGGCCAGAACACACAGAGCAGATGATAAACACAACACACAAAGCTTTATTTAATTATGACAGTCACAATTTGGGTCTGAAGGTAGCGTCCAAGTACCCGGGGCAGGGGAAGAGCAGGGATGGGGCCCAAAAC